AGTGGAAGGATCGCCAGAGCCCAGCAGGCGAGGCTGCAGTGGCCGGGAGCGACCACTGCACTCCAGACTAGGTGACAGAATGAGACTCCAACTCAAAAAAAAAAGAAAAAGAGTCCATGACAGCTAAGAACCAAAGATTATGTTTCTTAGTTTTTTTCCTTTCTTTCATACTTTTGTTTTTGCCATTTGTTTCTGTAGGTTAATTCCTATATCCTGAAGAAGAACATGATTCTCATGACAAATAATTTTTATGCAGCAATCTTGGGATATGATGAGGTAAGATCATTTTGCCAAGCCTTAGGTGAAACAACGGCCTTCACCAATATTGGCTTTTGATGAGAGCCTCTGAAGGAAGCTTCAGGGACTGTTGTCACTGCTTGCTGTTTTGGCTTAGTATTTATTTCTTCATCTTCACAATTGGAATGAACGTGCCCTGAAGCTTGCCCAGTGTTTGAGATGGGAAGCACTGTATAATATGGCCACATCATTCAACTCATTAGCATTTATTGAGTGACTACTGGGTGTCAGATGAAGGGACAAAGGCAAATCAGGTGCTGTCGTAGCCCTTAGTGCTCCCAGAGAGAGGAAGACGTTATATAAACAGCATAGAGCATAGTCTGCCAGACAAATAATGTGCTTTTTTTCTTTAATTATAAAAATAATACATACTCATTTTAAAGATTTATAAAACTGTGAGTAAGTGGTTGAAGTAGAAAATAGAAGATCCATTTTCTCTCCTGCCCAATTCCCTGCCTTAGAGGAAAACTTTATTAATAGTTTTTTGGGTGTCCTTCCAGATGTTATCTGTGCATAGACAAGTACTTATGTATTTTTCCTTCTTTATGCAAATGAGACTTAAACTGTATGTCATTTGTTTCTCTAGAGAGAGGGCTCCTAACAGAATGCTGCCATTCTGTGTACACACTTCTGCATCTTGCTTTTTTTCTTTTTGTTTAAGTTGGAATCTCACTCTGTCACCCAGGCTGAAGTGCAATGGCTCACTCACGACCACCGCAGCCTCAACCTGCTAGGCTTAGGAGATCCTTCCGCCTCATCCTTCCAAGTAACTGGACCTGCAGGCAAGCACCACCTCGCCCAGCTACTTTTTAAAATTTATTTTAGGGATGAGGTCTTACCAGGTTGCCCAGGCTGGTCTTGAACCCATGGGCTCAGGCAGTCCTCACCTTGGCCTCCCAAAGTGCTGGGATTATAGGTGTGAGGCACTGTGCCCCACCCCCAACTTGCTTTTTTCATGCACTATATGTCTCTGGCACCCTTCCAAATCAGAGCATTTATATCTAGCTCATTTTTAAGTGTCTAGCTTACTGGCTTTAACTACATTCCCACTGCTGTGCAGCTACCACCACCGGTAATCTCCAGAACTTTTCCATCTTCTCAAACTGAAGCTCTGTCCCCATTGAAGAATAACTGACAGTCCTTCCCTCAGCCCCCACTCAACTTTATGTCTCTATGAATTTGACGACTCTAGATATCTCATGTAAGTGGAATCATACGATGTTTGAGCTTTTGGGATTGGCTTATTTCACTTAGCAGAATGTCCTCAAGTTTCATCCATGAAGCATTTATCTCATCGTCCCCCACCCCCAGGTTTTATTATGGAAATTTCAAGCATATAGAAAAGTTAAAAGAATGGTGTAATGAACACCTATGAACAGGCCACCAGTATTCATCATGCCTCATATTTTTAACAAACCATGTGATTTTATACTGATTTACACAAATTTAGTGCAAGCATCACCCCTCCTGGGAAGTAGTCCCTGAACTTCCCAGGCTTAGCTCATTCCACCCTCCCTGGACTCTCATGGTGCTTACTGCATTAGTGTGAACTGTCACCCTGGCTGAGCAGGGATTTCTCCTGGATAGTCACAGTGCCTGTGATTGTATTTCTATTGCCTTGCATAGTACTTGGCACATGGGAGGCAAGAGTGAGAAAGACAAAATCACGAAGGGATGGAAGTAAGAAATTAGAGTCAGATTGGAGGAAATGTCATCAGCTTGAAAATAGTAATTCAAACCAGCAGTAAGCTCACCAAAAAGTAAGTTGAATGGCTTGGATAGGGTCATGGAACTAGTTAAACTTGGGGTCTCCTGATTCCCTGTCTACTAGATAGCTTTATTCCAAGAGAGCATTTAGATTGCACACCATTCACACCATTAATTTAACATGAACTTTTTGGGAGTGGGATGGAAATTGAGAAAAATTGCTTAAATGTATTATCAATTATGCAGGGTAGATTCTTATTTCAGAAACATTAAATAAAAGTGTAAGGCTTAGGATTGAAGAAATAGAACCCTCTTTCTGTTCGCATTTGTATATTTGTTGTCTTTATTGCTGGTGGCTCTGTTGGCCCAGTTGATCCTTTCATCCATATTAATAAAAATGTGCTGAACTGTGTCTGTTCTGTGTCCCCCATCCAGTGCATTCTGGCAGAACCATTTTACTCAAACATGCCTGATGACAAGAGTCACCAGGGGTGCTGTTTAAACCTAATTCTTGAGCACTTCCCTGAAGATTCCAGTTCAGGAGGCGGGCTGCCTAGTAGTTCAACAAGCACCCTAGGCTTGAGGACAGGTTTTAATTATTATTATTTATTTTATTATTCTGTGCTGCTGTTAGGTATGCACTAACTTTGTCCCTTCCACTAGATTGCAAGCTTCCTAAGGACTGAGACCATATTGCTGTGACTCTGTGTTCTTAGCATCATGCTAAGCACATAGTGGTGTCAAATCAATCTTTACCGAATGTCACTCTGTCACTCTAAACCCTGAGGCATAACCAGAACCCTCTAGAGAAGGATCAGTCCCTTCAGCTTCCTCTCAGTTACTCGAGACCTAGCTGTCTCAATTTCTGAAGGATGCTTGTCTGTATTGTGAGGGAAAACAGGTAGGCACCCATAAGATTGTGGGAAAATTGCAGTGCACCCTGATGTCTGGCTCCTAGGTTCCCCTTTTCCTTTTCTGCTTCCTTGGTTTGAGCCGTGTACTCTCAGGTCAGTCTCCCATTTGTTTTCCCTGGCTTACTAGATGTGTACTGAAAGAAGGCTGAAGTTGGGTTCATTTATTCGGCCATTTTTACTGCGCTCCCACTCCATGCCAGGTACTGTGTTACGACTAGAGTGAGTCACCATCCCCTGACCTCATCAGCACTTGCTGGGCCTAGTTCTACCACCAGTTAGCTGGATAACCTGATAGTATCTGTTCTACTTGGCACACGTGGTCATTAGGAGCCAGGTGTATGAAGGAACCCTGGCAGTCTGGAACAGTCGGGTTGTTATTACTGTTAGTGAGTCTTGAGTCATCCTTTTCCTTTTGACTACTGAGGAATTCCTTATTATGGATTTGCCTCTTCCCAGTTGTCTCACCCACCAACGAAGCTGCCTGTTTGCAGTGGGTCATGACTCCCAGGCTCTCCTGTCCTGGGCTCTGCTCATATTCCAAGTCCCTGCAACACCATGCAGCATATGTGGGTCGCCACCAGCAGCACTTCAGCATGTGTCTGGGCATAGCCAACACAGGCAGGCTGTTGTGGTAGCAGATAGTTTGGAGAATGATGTTGTGCCCGAGCTTGTCCTTGGCTCCTGTCCCTATTTGCTGAAGAAGCTGGTTTTCCTGACTTAGCCATTGTGCCAGGACAGTCTTAAGCTGTGGAATTGTAGGAATGATTATCACAGGGCATTTGGAACAGGTGGAATGTTTTTCTGCCAAACTGTCAGCACCCCATACTGGACATGGCCCTCTGGCAATAGACCTGGAGCCAGACCTCTGGTACCTCAGTGCTCAAGAGGCCAGACCACAATATAGTGTTGAATAAGTGGTCCTAGGTCTTTGTGTAACGTTTACCACGTACAGAGCCTTTCATGGCTGGTCTCTCTTAGTTCTCACAACAGTTCTGTGGGATAGGTATTATTATGCTTGCTTAACTCATGAGAAACTTAGGCTTAGGAAGGGCTAATGGCTTTTCAAAGGCCACACAGCCATCAAGAGACAGAGCTGGCATTTGGACTCAGGTGCTCTGGTTCCCAGACTCCACTGTTTTGACTATATCCATAGTTGCCTGCCAAGGCATGCTTCTGTTCTTTGTGGCCAACATATTACACCTAACGAAGCACCTTTACGTTGTCTTATTTTCATAATTCGAGGGTGCTATAAGTAGACCAAGTGTTTTCATCTCTTTGTGAGAAGCCTGAGACTCAGGTTTAGCGAATTGCCACCATCACTGAACTGGGCAGAGGCAGAACTAAGACTTGATCTAACTCCAAGCACTTTGGTTCCACACACTACCTTGGCACCTGGACAGAGCAACTTTTCAGGGCCTTTCCCTTCAGTCACCTTCACCCTAGGAAGCAGCAAGACCCTCAGTCCTTCCTCTCCTAGAGGCTCAAGCAGAAAATGGTAGCTGGGGCTCTAATTAGCCTCTGTGATCTTTGAACTTTCGGGCAGAGGTCTCCTCGTGCTGGGAGAGGCAACATTAGTATACACACATGCAGGCTCTGAACACTACCCTCTGTGGCCCCTGGCAATTCTGCTGAAAACAGCCTGTTTCTCTCCTTAGGGAGACATTGGGCCAACCCAGAATTGGGTTACAGTGAAGACAAGGTACCTGATATCTTTCCCCCAAAGAACCAGTTGCCTTGCAGATGTGTGCCCTTGGACAAAACTAGATGGTACAGTTCATGCCCGTCTCCATTCCTGGTAAAAACATGCACTCACAATACTGTCAGCTGTGCCCTGTAGACAGCAGGGGGAGCATTGCTACGACCATTACTCTTCTTAACCTCTCGAGCACTGCCTGGGTCAGGTGCAGTGTGGGAGCGGGAGCCATGCGTGCCTGTGAGGCTTGGTCAGACACAAGTTCCAGTGCTGCATCACCTGACTGTGACTTGGCCCCTCTAGGTCCCGTGTTTTTCCACCGTATAACATGAAGAGGTTAGACCTGATGCCCTTGTAAGACCCTTCCAGCTCTTCCATGCAGCTGCCCATTTCCGCAGTGGACCCCACCCACAGCATCTTCTGAGCCAATCCTGTGGTCACTAGCATGTTGACACTATCCCCAGCTTTTGTGTCATGGCTCTATAATACTCAGGAGACTAGTTGTTGTGCTCTGTGTTCCAGGGGATTCTTTCAGATGACCATGGGCTGGCGGCTGCCCTCTGGAGAACCTTTTTTAACCAGAAATGTGAAGACCCTCGCCAGCTTGAGCTGCTAGTAGAGTACGTGAGGAAACAGGTGAGTAGCCCATCCTCTCCCTTCAGAGTCTCACGGACAGTGGGTCCTCCCTGAGGTCTGTGGATGGATGTTGGACTTTCAGGGGATCATGAGAGGTTGAGTTACCAGGAACCAGCCTAAGGAAATTCTGAACAAATCACATCAGCAGTATAACTGATGAAGAAAGCAGTAACATTGATGAAGAAAGAGCACCGTCTCTGTGTCCAACCATGAACTAGCCCAGGAGACCTGGAAATGGCAGTAGAAGAAAAGAAGAGGCACTGAGTAGACTCTGACCTTCTAAAGCTTTTAGTCACTCATTCATTCCATAATTCATTGCCTACTGGGCCTGCAGAGCATGAAGGATATGGGCATAAGGTGCAGTGGCAGCCCGCCACTATAGCCGCCTCCTATACCCATTTGGATTTGTTTCCTGTTCCTGTCTTCTAGCAGAACTGGGCACCAGGCCCCATTCCACACACACTCCCCAGCCTCTCCCACTAAGTGCTCTCCACGGTCAAGTAGGGTCCCCCCCCTTCTATTCCTACCCCTGGGGACCCCCAGGGTTCCCTGACACCGAAGCCTCTAGGAAAAGACTCCACAACGAGGACTGCTTAACTACACAGCTTTTCTCAAGCCTGTGGAGAATTAACTCCTTGACCTCCCTTTCCTCCAGATCCTGTAGTAATGGGAAACTCATACTTTATAGATGAATGAGCTGAGTGGTAGGGAAGAGGAAGAGAGACTTTTCCAGGGTCTTCCAATGAGTCAACCTGCACAGCTGGCCTAGGACCCCAAGCTGAGTAATTCACTTAGCTACTGGAGACTTCAGTTGTTCCAGACAGCTCATCAGTTCAGGCTGTCCCATGAGTCACACTCTTGCTTCATGGACCTGGCCCTTGGAGCTGAAGGGGCCTCACTCCACAGTTATTCTCTTGTTTGCCTGTATCCATGGCCTTCAAGCCTCCAACAGCCAGGAGGGGGCAGACTAGACCCCAGTTCTTGAGGAGAAACCAGGGCCAATAGAACTAGCTTATGAACTACTGGAAGTCACATGCTGGGGCTCTTTAGACCTACAGGATAGAGAATCCCCAAAAACCAGAATTTCTGTTTGACCACTCTTCAAATCTGCCAGAGTCAGGGAGATAGTACGATGGCCAGCGGGCCCCACCCACAGAATCCTGAGACTCACACTGTTGACTGGGCCCACCCTCAGACAGGAGTAGCAATTGGCAAAGCAAATGCTATGTTTTCTGAGAGACGTGACCAACTTTTCCATCTGCTGTGGTGGGCTTGTGCCAGAGGCCACAACAAGGGACAGCTGGAACCTCTGAGCACCCTCGTGGAAAGGGCTGCCATAAGCAATGCCCATAAAAAACATCCTGTGTGGCCCCAGTGAGAGGCAATGGGAAAACAGTGATGGGGTTTTTAGAAAAGAAGAGAGCTTCTATGGACACCCAGTTCTGTCAGCAAGCCTTTTGAACACCTGCTGTGCCGGGCACTCTTGGGAAAGCAGAGATTAATAAGACCCAGTCCTGCCCTGAGTCAACTCAGTTTGTCAAGGAAGCCTGACAGGTACACGGCTAGTCCTGAAGGAAGTCTGTCTGTGATGTGATACAGATAGGTCCGAGTGCCGTGGAAGGCCCAGAAGGAAGGGGTTCATTCTGACTGAGTGGATCAGGGTAGACCAGGAAACTGGACCTTGAACAGGCTCTATCTAGCCCTAGCCAAGGTACTGCTTGGTGTGGTTGATGGCCCGGGGTCCAATCAGATTATGTTGAGGTTTTCAACCCTGGACGTGGGTAAAGTGGTGGCATTAGGGATAGAAATGGAGTTGCCATAAAGAGAGGTGGGCAGTTTGGTTGAGCTGCTTACTCTGGAAGAGATGGCAGGGTGTGTGGAATCTAGACCCGAGGCATACATGAGAGGTTGGGGCTGAGGGTGGGTTGCAGCCAGAAGGTGAAGCAGCAGCAGTGATGAGTTCTTGGAAGGGGAGAGGATCCAGAGCCTAAGATGAAGGAAGTCTTCTGGCCCTGCTGCCCACCCCCAAATGGAGCCTCTTCAGAAATCCCGTGTTGATGCCTGCTCCGATTCAGTTCTTGCCTAGATTTTGCCTGTCCACTGCTTATCCTGTCCCCTCCCTACTGGTAGGCATCCTGGAACTCCTCCCAAAGTTAACCTTTGTCTCCTGAGACTTAGCTCCTCCTCAGATCGCCTGCCTCTTACAGAACTGCCTGACTACCCTTCCCCTGAAGCTGCTTCTGTTCTTCATCATAGATGTCCTCTCTCCATGGGACTATTCTCCACCTAGACTCCATGGCAGGCCTGGGGGCATCCACGGATAGTGACATCTGGAGTTCACCATCTCCATGCAAACAGGCTGGAGGCTCAAATGAGAGGAAGCCCAAAGGGGACATGACCACTGTCTTCAGATGTCAGAGCGTCTGTCATTTGTGGGGAGCAGGAAAGTGTAGTGCTTGGTCTCTTCAGTTCCAGAGAGACCTGGCTGTTGGTGAAAACCATAGAAGAGCAGTGGTGGGTTCTCTGGGGTGATAACCATTTTAATGGCAAAGCTGTTTAGGGTATTCACCTGCTGTCCTGGGGGTGATGCTGGGGTGGGCCCAGTGACCAGGGTCATAGCCCACTAAAGCACAGCAAATGACTAGCACTGTACATAACATTACATACATTAAATGCCATAACTTTTTTTTTTTTTTTTGAGTGGAGTCTCACTCGGTTGCCCAGACTGGAGTGCAGTGGCCGCTTCCGGTCACCGCAGCCTCGCCTGCTGGGCTCCGGCGATCCTTCCGCCTCAGCCTTCTGAGTAGCCGGAATTACAGGCATGCGCTACCACGCCCGGCTGATTTTTTGATTTGTCGTAGAGATGAGGTCTCACCAAGTTGCCCAGATGGGTCTCGAACCCGCGGGCTCAGGCAATCCACTCACCTCTGCCTCCCAAAGGCGCGGGATTACAGGCTGAGCCACCGAGCCCGGCTAAATGCCATAACATCGAATCTCTTCACGTGTGCTGTGAGGTACATGTTTCTGTCCCCTCTCCCAGACGTAAATCTCAGAGGAGGTAGGTTGCCATTTTGTGACTACTTCCTAGTGACACCACTAGGAAGGGTCAGAATCGGGATTCTTTTACCAGCAGCATTGGAGGTGGACAGGATGGCTTCTGTAAGTAGCAAGCCCTGACTTCCTGCCCTGCCAGAGGTTTCTAGGGAGAGTATATGGGGAGCGGGGGATGTCCTTGGGGACATATGTATGACTAGGAAATCCCCTAAAACCTGCCCGTTGAGCTTCCCTGTTAACTTGTTTCTCCAAACCACGTTAATGAAGTAATCTGGGAGATCAGAGTCTCCCCTGGCCTGGGAGCTGGGATGGTCAGAAGCCCTGTCTCCTTCCTGCCACCTCGTGTCTGACCTGCCCTTGTTCCTTTCCTGTGTTCCCCACTGTCCTGGTTGTAGATGCAGTACCTGGACTCCATGAATGGTGAGGATCTGCTTCTGACAGGGGAGGTGAGCTGGCGCCCTCTGGTGGAGAAGAATCCTCAGAGCGTTCTGAAGCCCCATTCTCCAACTTATAACGACGAGGGTCTTTGATGGACTGATCCCTCTCTACAGCTGGCCACCTGGCTTTGGGGAACTGCCAGAAGTGAAGTGCCTGTTTGGCTCAGGAACCTGCAGAAAGTGGCCTGAACTGACCTTTGAACAGCATCCGTCAAATACCTGGCCCCATTTGTGTTGAGTTTCCTCTTGGTGTGACCAGGAATCGCATCTGGCAGGGTACAGTGCCGGGAGAACCCCTGTCTCTTCTGGGCTGTCCTCTCCCTCAGGAAAATCCCCGAGCAAGAGCTCCCCAGCACACACTCCTCAAGTCCTTTCAGCACCCATGTGACTGACAGCTCTTTCCAAAGGCCACGGAAGGGATGGAGTAGGCAAGAAAGGGATACCCACCAATGACCCACTGTGGCCTAGGAGCAGTTTGTCATACTCTGAGTCAAGACGGGTAACCACACTCTGTCCCTTGGCTTTAGTCATGGGGTTGAGTTGGCCATGAAAAGAAACAGAGACTTGTCTCTGCCATGGTTCTTCTTTATTCCGGGGTCTCTAGAAATCTATCTGAGATGGTAAGTGCCATAATTGAGGAGCACCACCCAGCTCTGTTAGACAGGGACAGGGAAGAGGTCACGAGGATCTTGCCGCTGCTCTTGCCTCTGGCTCACGGAGATGCCTCTCTGTTCTGCTAAGGTGCCGTCTGCCAGGTCCCTCCTCTAGGACCCAGGAGCCCCTGATGTCTGATGCCCGGGGACTTGTCCCATCCTAGGTCATTTGGGAGGAGACCTCGAGAACAAAGTCCCCTTTGTCAGTCCCAATGAACTGCATGAGGAACATGCCGTCTTTCCTCTCTTGGCCTCCCCTCATGAGACACTGAGGAGAAGAGAGCCCAGCTGTGTGCGCAGCTTTCTGCCCCTCCCGCTCTGGAGTCTGTGCCGCAGAGCCAGCTCTGCCCAAGCACCTGAGCACCAGGCCCCTCCTCCCTCTGAGTGTGAGTCGTCCCTTGGGGGATTTTCTTGAAGTGAAGAAAGGGGGTGGGGAACCATATTGCCCTTTCCTCCCCCATCAGACTTCCTTCATTTAACTTGCTATAAAATGAGTCATATAAAGAAAGTCTATATGGGTGAGGTATATCCCACTTCTGTGAAAACATTACAAATCAAACCTCCTTCTCTCAGTTTATTTAAGATGCATTTGTTGCAAGCGGAGCTCCAGAGTGAAGCCTCCTGTGTGTGTGAGATAATAACACCTTGTAACTCATTACAGCTGGGCACTATTTACATAAACCAGAGCTGAGCCAGGCAGGAATTTGCTGATTAATTTATTTTTAATGGAGTAAAGTATACCATGCACCAAAATAAACTTTACTGTGTGTACCTAACTGCTCCTGGAATGGATGGAAAAATTAATGGCACAGATTTTGGCTCCCAGCTCTACACATTAATTCATATATAAAGTTATTTGAGCGTTAACCCATCTGCTGCCCAAGGTAGCTCTCTGGCCACAGATCGCAGCTCACAGCACCAGTGCAGCTACTGGGCTTGCTTTAAAATCCTGGAACCTCTGACTTGGAGGAACTATAAAGGTCACTTTGTCCAGCCCTGGTCCAGAACTTGAGCCCCTTCTTAACAGCCCAGTCAACCTATGTGCACGCAGGCCCTGACGAATCCCTCCCACAGCTGATGGTTCCTGCTGTAAAGCCAAGTTCTGTCTCCCCAGGTTTTGGTCATCATCAAACACGACAGCTTGTAATACAGAGCCGCATTTGAAAGTGAGATAGGATCTATCCAGTCTGCAGTACTCCAAAGCCCTTACTTCCTAGCCATCAGCACCTTTCACCAACCCCCCCACCCCTCAAGATCAATTTCAGTTTCCTTGGAGAATACATGGCTCTTCTTAGTTCGACCCCTGTCTTCATTCCAGCCTGTTTTCATGAGTCTCACCCACTTCTCTGAGCAAAGTGACCCACTTGGAGTCACCTGAAGAGACTACACTGTGTGTCTTCCACCTGGAACCTCACCCTCTCCTTTCCTATCCACCCCAGGCACAGGCACGCTGTCCGTGGTGGCCCCCACTAGGTGTTTTGTTCTGTCAGTGCTTGCTTTGCCCCGTTGAGATGATTTTTTTTACTTATCCGCCTCCCATATTGTACTGAGGGCTGCTTCTACACAGAGGGGACATGGGGTGGAAACCGTTGTTTTCCAGTGCTCAGAAGAGTGCCTGGCTTATCAGCATCAGTATACACTTTGACTGATGAATAAATGTGTGGCTAAGTCATCAATCACTATTAGTACGAGCCCAACAAAAAAGCCCCTTTCTGGACCATTCTCTCAGTGTGACCTATAGTTCAGCTTTTTTTGTTTGTTTGTTTAGTTGGAGTCTCACTCTGTCGCCCAGGCTGGAGTGCAGTGACACACTCATGGCCACTGCAGCCTCGACATGCCAGGCTCAGATGGTCCTTCCGCCTCAGCCTTCCAAGTAGCTGGAACTACAGAGACCCTATCACGTCCGGCTAGTTTTTGTGATATATTGCAGAGACAGGGTCAGTTTCTCCTGGCCAGTTCAGCTTATTTTAACAACTAAGATTTAAGTACTTCCTTTGCCAAAACTAAAAGTTCTTTCCATAGCTAAATGTTTTTCTAATGTAGATTGTTATTATGCAAAGCAAGTGAAGAACGTGATTTTTTTTACCCTTGGGGAGATTGCTCTTTAGGGATGATTTTGTCATGTATTTGTACTCTATATACTTCCAGAAAGGATCACAGCACATTAAAAGACAGTTATAATAAAACTGTAAGACTATTAAACAAAGATAAGGTGCAAGTATTGGGAGGGAAGAGAAGGAAAGGGTTACATTAGAAAACCTGGGCTGAGCCAGGCTTGGTGGCTCAGCCTGTAATCCCATGCTTTGGGAGGCTGAGGTGAGTGGATTGCCTGTGCCCACGGGTTTGAGACCTGCCTGGGCAACTTGGTGAGACCTCATCTCTACAATAAAAAAAAAAAATTAGCCGGGCATGTAGTGTGCGCCTGTAATTCCAGCTCCTTGGAAGGCTGCGGCGGAAGGTTCGCCGGAGCCCAGCAGGTCAAGGCTGCGGTGGCCGGGAGCAGCCACTGCACTCTAGTCTGGTAGACAGAGTGAGACTCCAACTCAAAAAAAAAAAAGGAAAAGGAAAAAAGAACCCGGGCTGGCCGGTTGCGGTGGCTCACATCTATAATCCCAGCACTTTGGAAGGCTGAGGTGAGAGGATTGCCTGAGCCCTTGGGATCGAGACCCGCCTGGGCAACTTGGCAAGACCTCATCTCTACAGTAAATCAAAAAATTAGCTGGGCATGATGGCGTGGGCCTGTGGTTCCGGCTACTTGGAAGGCTGAGGTGGAAGGATCGCCGGAGCCCAAGGCTGCAGTAGCCCAGGAGCGTACCACTGCCCTCTGGCCTGGGTGACAGAGTGAGACTCTAACTACAAACAAACAAACCTGGGCTGCTAATAAGCAACTTTCATATGAGTTGGGGTCTTTATGGTAATCTCTAAACTGCACTGTCTCACGGCAGTCCTGGAAAGTAGGTGTTCATCATTGTTGTTATCCCTTGAGTTACCTAGAGTAAGGAGGAACCGAGAGTGCTCCAGGACCCGGCCCTGGGCCCTACCCTGGCCCCACATCATACTGCCTTCCTTGGCTCAGCCAGGAGATCTGCAGTCGAGTATCAAACCTTGTTCTGAGCTTCCTGGCCGAAGGTGGAAAAGGAAGAGCCTTGAAGTCATGCAGTCCCCATTGTCATAAAAGGAAATATACTCATTCATCAGAGGAAAGATACTTCTTACTTTGCAGAGAAGAATGCATTAGAGTTTTTCAAATGAGAAATCCTGAAATGTAGTGAACAGTATCTGTAAGATTTAAGTTATACCCCAGAATGTTAAAATAATAAATAAATCATTGCTATTTCTTAGATCTTTAATCTTTTTTTATTTTTTGGAGTTGGAGTCTCACTCCGTCGCCCAGACTGGAGTGCAGTGGCCGCTTCTGGCCACCGCAGCCTCGACCTGCTGGGCTGCAGCGAGCCTTCTGCCTCAGCCTTCCGAGTAGCTGGAACTACAGGCGCACGCTACCACACCCGGCTAATTTTTGATTTATTGTAGAGATGAGGGTCTCACCAAGTTGCCCGGGTGGGTCTCGAACCCGCAGGCTCAGGCAACCCACTCAGCTCGACCTCCTAAAGTGCTGGGTTTACAGGCTGAGCTACCAAGCCCAGCCAGATTGTTAATCATTCTTTATTCTTAAACTGAGGTTAAAGCCATGACCAGTATTTTTTGAGTTTCCGCTCTGCCAAACATGCTTGGTATTTCCACTTGTTATTTGGTGATCATCCTGTGAGATAAGTATTCTTAAACTTGTTTTGCAGTTCAGGGAGACGCCCAAATTTACCCTTCCTGCAGGCTCAGGTGACTCTGACCTCCTCTAACTGCTTCTGGTTCTCTAAAGGGAGTTCTGAGTGGAGGGGGGCCAGTTGTGCTACAGTGAAAAAGAAAAAGGAAGGAAGCAGGACGTGGCAACTCACACCTGTAATCCTAGGACTTTGGAAGACTGAGGCGGGAGAATCGCTTGAGCCCAGGAGTTCAAGACCAGCCTAGGCAACATAGTGAGATGCTGTCTCTGAAAAAAAAAAGACTTAAAAAATTAGCCAAGCATTGTGGCATGTGCATGTAGTCCTAGGACTCAGGAGGCTGAGGCAGAAGAATTACCTGAACCCAAGAGGTTGAGGCTGCAGTGAGCCATGATTGTGCCACTGCATACAAGCCTAGGTGACAGAGTGAGACCCCAACTCAAAAAATAAAAAGATAAAAAGAAGCCTGAAGCAATATTCTAGCCACCTGGACTTGTGTGTGTACATACACACACTAACAAAAAGTCACAACGAGGGTAAGAAGTCAGAAAAGCCTCAAAGGCAGTCAGGACATAAGGAACGGGCAGGGTTGTGGTAGGTGGGAAGAAAAGCAGGAAGTGGGGAGGTGAAGGCACAGAATGGGAGGCTCTTGAGGCTCCAGTAGACTTGGTGAGGTCGCCACGAAGGGGCAGAAAGGTTGCAGAGATTGAGTGGGGTGTGGTGGGGGTAGCCTGATGATGCACCATCTGACGGCAGTGTGGGCCACTGGTCACTCGGACTCTGGTGGCAGTGGAGATACCCAGCGGCACACAGGACAGGTGGCTCAGTCAGGGAGGGTGTCTCAGCACCTAGGCTGAGGTTCTGCGAGAGGTAGGAACTCAAAGGGATGCTCAAAGCCTGAGACACTTCAGAGAGAAGACGCACCAGAACTTGGTGCTGAACCACCGTGGAGCCTGAAGAAAGGGAGCAGTCACAGAGCTCCCAGGGCAGGAACAGCGTGGTCTGGCAGGAGGTGGAGCAGGAAAGAAGAAACCTCTTTGTGTTGTGTTTTTTTCTTTTTTCACTTTTAGAGATGCTCTCACCCTGTGACTCAGGCTGGAGTACAGTGGTGCCGTCGTATCTCACTGCAGCCTCACATTCCTGGGTTCAAACAATCCTCCTGCCCCAGCCTCTTGAGTAGCTGGGACTACAAGTATGTGTCACCACGCCTGGATTATTTTTACTTCTATTATTTTTGTTTTTGTAGAGATGGGGTCTTGCTATGTTACCTAGGCTGATCTCAAACTCCTGGCCATAAGTGTTCCTCCCACCTTGGCCTTCCAAAGCACTGGGATTGATTACAGGTATGACCCATTGCACCTGGCCTATATTGTTTTGTTTTGTTTTCTCCAAGTAATAAGTACAGTATCCTCTGAGCTAGGTAGGGCAGGGATTACTGCCCCCATCATGCAGTAGGGAAACAGGTACACCAAGAAGAAGCCACTTATTGGTACAAGGTGACCCCACAGTGAAACTAGAGTCTCATGTCTTCTGAGCCCTACTCTGTTGCTTTTGGTGGGTCTTAGTTGCTTCTGGGAGCCAGTTTGGCAGAAGATGGACTTTAGACAATAGAAATGCCCCCAGGAGGGCAGGGGCATGGGGCCAGACTGGACCTCAGGGGCTGATTGGAACTGAGGGGCTAAGGACATTGGCCTTGTCTGGGGCATAGAACTGAATGACACTGGATGAGCTCCCAGAGGGGTGGTGGCCCAGAGACTGGGCTGGGTAGAATGCAGAGTGGAGCCAGGAGAGAGGAGAGCTTCCAGAAGGAGGAGACTAAGTGCAACATGCTGAGAAAAAATGGAAACAAGGTGAGGAGGCAGGAGGAGGTGAAAACCAGGGGCTTGCAGGAGCGCTGATGCTGTGAGGGCTGGCAGGAGTCTAAGGAAATGCAAAGCGCTTGCCTTGAATGTCAGGCTTCTGATTAGATCCCTCTGAACAAGGAAGCCTGGCCTTGAGAA